ACACTACACCTCCTATTTAACACAGATATTATTCCAACATCTCTGACTTGCCGAATCTTTACGCTTTACAAAACAAAAGTTGACCATTTTAATGTTCTCTGAATGACCAACATGTTGGTGTTCCAGGTGGGTCCATTAAGAACCAGTTCTGCTCAGATCCGTTCTTCCTCAAACGGTTCATAAATCTCAGGTGAAGCATCCACGTTCCGCTCAGGTGTGAGCTTTGAGCAGAACCAAACGAGGCGGAGCAGAACTCAGCTGGACTAAAGCGAGCACGATGCGTGTTGAATGTCTGTCTCCTTTGTGTCTTTTACTAAAATGAATACAGTGCACTAGTCCCTCGCTACTTCGTGGTTCGACTTTCGCGGACTTGCTCTATAAAGCCTTAATATATATATATATATATATATATATATATATATATATATATATATATATATAAATAGTAAAATAAATAGAGCATTCTAACTGCAGGTTTTAAGTTATTGCGAGAATGTCCGGAACATAACCCCCGCAATAAATGAGGGACTACTGTAACTCGCTTAATCCATCCTCTTTGAGGTTAACTAATTTTTAAACTAACTACAAAGCTGCTGTGCATCCTCATCAATATTCCCCCAGTAATAAATCTGTTTGTTGTAGTTTAATCCGGCTCGCGGGCGATCACACCCTGATATGATCAGTTCATCAGAACTCTCTGCACAGCCGGAGAGAGAAAGAGCATGCAGCCTTTCACTCGTGTTTCTGCTAATTTAATTCTTATTAACAGTTATTAACACCAAAACACAGATATTTGTAGTCCCCAGATTAAAGCAAAGATGACTGTCTCTGTTGAACTTTATTTTGTTTTCCCCCAAACTCACAAAGAGTCTGTGGGAGAGTCCTTGAGAGATGGTATATGAGCTGCAAAGCATGCTGGGTAGCCTTATAGAAATTATTTGTGCAATGTTTCTGACTGTGTACTACGTTTCTGAGTGGGGAAATGGGTTGTTCTTGTTAATGTCCTATTCAGGGTTGCTTTGACATTTACGCTGAAGTCTCTGTTATTGGTTGTAAACTGGCACCATGAGTCATTGGTTATTCCCGGTAAGTATAAGGGAGAAGGCAGTAATAGTTGCAGTGAATACTCTCACTGAAGGAAAAAATAATAATAAGAAAAAAAAAACCAACCTCAGATTAATTCCACGCCAGGCACTGTATCATATAAGACGATGCTTACTGTGATGAGGGGGCTCATCTTATGGTGTTCTATGGTGTGCTTGTGAAAATGCTGAAAAACAAGATGGACAAATAACAGGATTGCCTGTCTAAATTAAATATTTGCCATTTCAAAATATCTATAGGTTTCCCTCACTTATTTATTTATTCATTTAAATTAATGAACTCATCGGCAGGCTGGACTTACCCGGCCAGCTGCCACTTGAATAGCCCTGCACTATAGTGTGGTTCTATAGATGTTTAAACACATCCAAAGGAATGGTGTGTTTGTGCAACAGCCACATCACTTATGCTCGAGACATTCACCAGCACAACCATCATCAACAACAACAATGGAGGATTCCGCAGCTGTAGCTGTGTGTTGCGGGTTTTTGAAATAGCACTACAAACCATAAGAAGGAGATATAGGAGCCAAGAGGCAAAGACAGACCAGTCTATGTTGTGATGAACACGTTCATTGGTTAACCTTCCAGCTGACATTGGCATTATGGGCCTTTTTGACCCAAGCGTAGCAGGAGAGTTAAGGAGCGCGACAGTTTCAAGTACAGTAGTCCCTCGCTACTTCGCGCCGTGGTTCGACTTTCGCGGACTCACTGTTTCATGGGTTTTCAATGTAAGATTGTACACGACACAAGATTGGCTGATTGATGGAAGGCAACCAACCAGAGCATTGTGCTCTGTATCCCGGGCGCTGAGTGGCTCAGTAACCATAGCAACAGTCTGATGCTCTCTTTCATTGTGCTCTTTTGTGAAATTTTTGTAAGAGACTGAATTTATTTCAAGCCCTACGATGCAACCCAAACATTATGCTCCTTCTAAGGTTTCAGACAACGAGCCCAAGCACCAGAGAAATGCCCCATTTGCACTGCCCCTAATAAGCCCCAACTCTGGGCAGCCCGCAACGAAAAGAACACTTTTGCACCAGCCCTTTAGCTAGTCTATTTAGCTGATTTGAAGCTGATTCAGGACCTCTTTTCATCCCTGCTTCTCTGGTGGGACCGAGCGAGCTCAGTTGAGCTGACTCCAGACCAAAATGTGAATGCAGGACTCTGATTGGTCAGGGGGAGGAGTCACTAGATCTCAGAAACTTTTCACCGATCCGCCATTTGCAATTTCTCGGGACGCGGAGCAGTGACTGGATCTATTTTTAAGATTTTAAAAACAATAATGACAATGCCGTGTTTAATGCTGAAGTCCAGGCGTTTTTTTGTGTTTGGTGACTGACGACAAAATTCGAGCGGGCGGTGTCACCGCGGAGGATCATATGAGCTGCCGACCTGTTGAAGCCCGCGAGGTCGGCCCCCGAGCCCCGGCCTCGCCTGCTCACAAAGGCCGGATTCCGAGCCCTGGCAGGCAGGAGGACCGGGACGAAGGGTGGAACGTTTATACTTTTTAAAAACATTTTATGTATAAAAAAGTTTTTTTTTATCAGTGAATATTAAAAATTAATAAACGGTGCCGACTTTATAGTGAAATCCTGTTTTCACTTTGACTTTATTAAATAATCTGTTAATTACAGTTAATGCAGCTGGAAAAATCATAAAAAGACTAAAATATTGGGTGATCTCAGGAATATTTCCCTCAAACATGTTTAAAGAAGAGACACAGCCTTTGGTTCAACATTATTCTAACCCACAGATGTACAAATCACAAAACACGAAGTACACTTTAAATTAAAGCTTTAAATCAAAGCTAAACTTTAATTCAATCCTAAAAATAATCTGTATACAAGAAAAAATAATCTGTATACAAGAAACAAAACCACAATGAGTGCAAATACATCAAATGATGAAGAAAAATATAGAATTTTAAATATAGATACCCTGATGCATGCTCAATAATCCAGGTAGAAAATCAGTCTTATAAATAGCTATGAGCTGAATACAGCACAGCAGACTGAAGAAGTCTTTCGGATGAAAGAAGAAAAATTTCTATGATTTTTTTGTTTGTTTGTTTTTTTTTTTGAATGTCCAGAGGACCAGACTTAACCTTTTTTAGATTTAAATATAGATGTTTTGTAGAAACGGGTTCATCAGATTTAATTCAGTTCAGTTTTTTAATACAGCGCCAAGTCACAACAGAAGTTGTCTCAGGGCACTGAACAGAAACATTCATATATAAAAATAATAATTTAACATTATCTGAGGAGCAGACTGTTTTGAGTTTAACTCATCGCAGAACTCTCATTAGCAGGACTTGGATTCTGGACACGCCTCCAGAATCAGTCCTAAAGTGCAGGTGCTAAAGTGCAGGTGCGAATCCAGGCTGAGCTGAGCAGAGTTGGGGCTGACTAGGAGCAGTGCAAATGGGACATCAGTGAGGGACTACTGTACATTCTACTTTAATAACGTGAACAAAGTTTTGAAAAGTGCTGAACTTCCATGACCAATCAACACAGGTTTCTGTAAAGAGCAACCATATCACTTCATGTCTTTTGAGAGTCCGTGTTACTATTCTGAAGCAGGAGTTAAACCAGGCCTGATACAGGTTGTCACAGGGAATACAAACAGCTAAAGTACCAACAGTGTGTAAAACAATGAAAGACCAAAACTACCAAAGGACAGAGAAGTGGACTCTGCAGCCCCAAAACTCCTAATATGACCAGTCTTTGGTTCAGGGACGTCTCTTTCTCTCAGAGGTTGTGGGAGGAGGAGCAGCTCTCATACAAACGTGTGTATACTGTACTGAGCTTGATTTCCACTATTAAAATCCAGTTGAATACATGGTACAATCAAAATATTCAACATGTTTGCACCTTAAGGAAAGAGAAACCTCATTACACAGAAGAAAGCTTCCTTGTGCTCAGATGACAAGAAAAGTTTTCTGCCTCTAAATTTCATCAGTCAATAATTATATGGATTAAACCATGTTCAGGCATAATTTTCTCTGATGAGCAGTGCAACTGTTTGTGATTGTGTTTTAAAAATCAAATGAAAAAACAGATTGACAACCAACAAACATCCTCCAAGAACAACCTGACATATGCAGCTTTATGAAACAAACTAGTTTTCTTCAGATTCTCCTTGTACTGAAGTACAGTACTTCCATTTGGGTACCAATACTGAGTACTGACTCAGAGTAGATAATAAGTTAGTACTTTAACATTACACAATGACCTTAGAAACGCCTTACTTTTATTAAGGACACATCAAACTGTCTGTTATCTTTACATCACTTGTGTTCATCCTAAAATATCTCTAAACTGTGGACATTAAAAAAAAAATTATTTGCAAAATGGAAGAGGAAATGACATCACCAAGCATAAAATAGTATCGGTCCAAAGTACCGGGGTGTTTTTTTTATGAATACAAGTACGAGTACACACCAAAGATGATTGTTTACTAGTTTGCGCCAGTTGACCAGTCTGACCAACACTCATTCAACTACCGGTAATTTACAAATCTGACAATCACTCAGTAAATCAGTTGACCAGTCTGACCAACATTCAGTCAACCAGTTGACCAATTTTAGCTTCACTCGGTTACAAGTGTACCAGTTTGACCTTCCCTGAATAAACCATGAGGCTAGTCTAAATCCTCACTAAGCTAATTGATTTTCCAGTCTGACCCTCACTGAGTCAATTAGTTGACCAGTCTGACCAACACTCATTCAACTACCGGTAATTTACAAATCTTACCATCACTCAGTAAACTTGTTGACCAGTCTGACTTTTAGACTGTACTCCTGGAGTTCTGCAGGACTCATGTTTCCACCCAACAGCAGGTTAATAACTCCAGCTGCTTTCTCTTTAAGTTTCTGTGAGAACATGTGTGTGGACTGACCGTTGAACACAGCTTGTCCCTTAGCCAGCTCTTGGTCGACTTCTATGATGTTCTCCTCCTGCATAAATCCCCTGAAACACAGCAACGACTCCTGCTTGTGTGCCAATGACTGCTCAGCTAAAACAACCTGCAGATAGAAAGAAGAAAACAGAAAAAGGGATAAAAAATACTTCTTTTTTTTGGGGTTCCTGGAATCCTAAATGATGTCATCTTGTCAAATTGTTGGTGAAATTCCATGCAAAACTGCATAATGTAGTCTTTGAGAACCGACTTTGTTTAAAGACTTTTTGTGTGAACATAATAATGAGTTAAATTAAAAGGAGATTGTGAACAACAGAAAAAAGGATCTGGGATGAAAAACAAAACGCCTTCAAGAATCCAAAAAGTCCAGCTGACAGGATTCTTATGTCCTGTTGAATAAGTCAACTAGGAGTGGGTTATAAAATCCTATATTGTAAATAATAAAAAGACGTTGGAATGTAACACGGAAGTTGAAGCCGTACAGGACCAGCTTCCCTGTCAGATGGTTTCAGTATAGGTTTTTAAGTCCTGCACCCTACATGTCAAAAAACAGAACATTGCTCTTTATAACAAACAGAACTTAGAAGGATTTTGTATTTTTTGTTGTACAGTATATAGTTCTTACCTTGGCTTGTTTCTTTATGCTCAAAAACTTATTATTCTAATAGATTTAGTTGTAATTAGTTATTTGAAGCTTTAAAAAAAAGCTTCTGTGACACAATGATTGTGTGTGTGTGGGAACGTAGGCTTAAAGCCCCACATTACTAGTGCACAGACTCTGGTTCCAAAAATACAACCTGGCAGCTTCCATAAATTGATTCCTACTGGCTTCAAGTCCCAACAACAAGAAAAGGACATTAGGTCAGTTAGTTGAAAATAAGGATTAGGGAAAATCTATTATTTAAATTATTATTATTATTATTATTAATATTATAAGGGTTATTTGGTGTGGGGAGACTAAAATGATTGTATATTGATGTGTATGACGGGGCAGGAAATCATAAGAGTGTTATCTTCTACCTGCTCCTTTTCGCACAAATTGTGTAAAATTGCATGTCAATTGGCATGACTGTTATTATTTTTTTCTCGTTCTTTGTTTTTACTTTTTATTGTCGTTCGAAATAAAAATAAAAATAAAATTAAAAAATAATAAATCAGGGGTGTCAAACCCACTTACAAAAGGGGGCCAAAATTAAAACCTTTTTCAAACTAAGGGCCAGTTTCAGAATCTACATTAACTCAAGTCAGATACCCAACATTTTTTCTTGGTTGCAGGTTCATCAACAAGAGTTTGATTGGCCTCATTTGACGTTCTCTGTTGCACTTTTGAATCATAATCAAAGATTGCTGAAAAAATTAAAGTGATAAAAGTAAAACGTTTAAAATAACATCTTGGGGGGCCAGATAAGATGTCAACGAGGTCCACATTTGGACCCCGGGCATTGAGTTTGACACATATGATTTAAAAGGACTGCACTGATATAGCGTTTTTCTATCTTATCAAGATACTCAAAGCCCTTTACACTATAATCAGTGCCCTCATTTACCCATTCATACAACACTCTACTATGTCTCTATAAAGACTAATCAGTGCTTTAGATCACATTCGTACACTGATGGGACACACATCGGAGGCAATGAGGGGTTCAGTGTCTTGCCCAGGGACATTTTGGCATGTGACTGCTGGTGGAATTGAACCCTCAACTCTTGCATTAGAGGATGACTGCTCTAATTACTCAGCCACAGCCGCCCCCAGATTATTAGATGCATCATATTGCAGACATGGAAGATTCAGAATCAGTTTTCAAATGTCTAAAGTCAATTTTGTTCATGTTATTCTGTGGTGCTACTGCCATAATTTTCTAAGCCTGGCTGCTCAAAATATGGCCACACAGCTCACTGGTTGCAATCTTTCAACTCCAGAAAAACTGCTACAAAACATTCAAGCACATCCATTCATCCACCAAAACACATCCATCCAGCCGCCAAAGCACATCCATTTTATACTATTATAATATTTATTATACTATTAGAAATGTACGGTGGTCCTCTGAATCAAAATCAAATTGTGAGGTTACTTAAAGATTCCCACTTCTAGAATATGCACCATTTATATTCTAAAATGTTCAAAAAACTGAACATGAAGCTAATAAATCAGAGCAATGTGTGGAGATACTAGGACGACTGGTGAATAATTATTTAAACAACTTTATAATGTTTTCTGGTTCTCAAAACTAAAGAGCAAATCGAATGCTGAGCAACAAAACAAATAAAAAAAGCAGAGTTCAACCCATTTGAACTAAAATCATTATTAATCACCAAGAAGAGCAGCAGACAACTGGGTCAATTAAATACAATGATAATTAATGTCCAGACTTTTGTGCGTTGTGTCTTTGAGCCCAACATGACTCCCCCCTGACCCCTTTTGTGTCCTAGATTCACAATGACACACATATAAGCAAATACCCCCCTCTGCTCTTCTGCTCCACAAAGCAGACTCAAAGCATCTGTCATAGGTTACAAGTGCTCAAGGGGCGTTCTTCTGTGATCAAAATAAGTAAAGAAGAGAACTGAATTGTTTCTACTTAAACCAAAAACTGTAAAATGTCACATTTTGTTATTATCATTCAATGTTCCTATGTATGGATTTGCCTCATTCTTATTTATTTGTGTGAAAACGTCACAGATTAAATAACTATCATACTGGCAAAGAACTATTTAAAACTAAATCCAATCCTAATTTTCTTCTTTCAGCTTTTCCCTTTTCAGGGGTCTCCAGAGCGAATCATCCTCCTCCATCTCTCTATGTCCTCTGCATCCTCTGTCCTCACCCTTACTATGTCCATGTCCTCAATTGCATCCATGTATCTCCTCTTTCTCTTTTTATTGGCAGCTGCATTTCTAACATCCTTCTACCAATATACCCACTGTCCCTCCTCTGGACATGTCCAAACCATCTCAGTCTGGCCTCCCTAACTTTACCTCCCAATTGCTCAACCTGTGCTGTACCTCTGATGATCTCATTCCTAATCTTATCCATCATTGTCACTCGTAAGGAGAACCTTAACATCTTCATTTCTACAACTTCCAGTTCTTTCTCCTGTCTTTTTGTCCATGTCTCTGTCTCCAGACCATACAATATAGCTGGTCTCACCACTGTCTTGTAATTTTTTCCTTTGACCTTTGCTGACATTCTTTTGTCACAAATCACTCCTGAAACTTTTCTCCATCCACTCCATCCTGCCTGGACTCTCTTTTTCACCTCTTTACCACATTCCCCATTTTCCTGAACAGTGGACCCCAAGTACTTGAAGTCCTGCACCTTTGTGACCTCTGCTCCTTTTAGCCTCACTGCTCCACCGGCCTCCCTCTCTCATTCACATAGTACTCTGGCTCACTATGGCTGACATTCATTCCTCTTCTTTCAAGTGCATACCTCCACGTCTCCAAGTTCTCTTCCACTTGTTCCCTGTTCTCACCACAGATCACAATGTCATCTTCAAACATGGTCCATGGAGATCCCTGCCTGACCTCATTTGTTAGTCGGTCCATCACCAGAGCAAACAAGAAGGGGCTCAGAAGTCAGAACTGATCCTTGATGCATTCCCACCTCCACCTTGAAGCTATCTGTCACTCCTACATAACTTCTCACCACTGTCCTGCTGTCCTCATACATGTCCTGTACCAGTCTAACATACTTCTCTGCCACTCCAGATTTCCTCATGCAATACCACTCCTGCCTCAGCACCCTGTCATATGCTTTTTCTAAAACCACAAAGACACAACTTTTTTTTTACCCTCTCTGTACTTCTACATTAGCATCCTCAAAGCAAAGATAACATCTGTGGTACTCTTTCTTGGCATGAAACCATACTGCTGCTCACAGATAGTCACCTCTCGTCTAAGTCTTAAGTCTTGCTTCCACAACTCTTTCCCAGATCTTCATTGTGTGGCTCATCACATTATTTCCCCTCTAGTTGCTATAACTCTGGACATCACCCTTGTTCTTAAAAATGGGCACCAGCACTTTTCCTCCATTCTTAAGGCATTTTCTCACCCTCAAATATGCCACTGAATATTTGAGTCAGAAACCTCACTGCCATCTCTCCATTTCCAAACCTCCACTGGTATGTCATCAGGTCCTACTGCCTTCCCCTTCTTCATATTTTTCAGAGCTTTCCAAACTTCATCCTCATGGCTACTGATTATCTCATATGGCTGTATTCATTCATATCCATCTGCTCACCACAGACTCATGTTAGGGCTGCTGTTCATATGCAATATTGTTTTACATTATGAGCATTTAGCATATATCTTAGATCTTTTAGCGTACCATTTGGCGTTCGTTTAGTGTATATTTTAGATCCTTATATACCAGTATACTGTTTCTTTTTATACTTTATATTTTTTGCTATTTTGGGGTGTAACTGGGACCCTGAGTACACAATTTCGCCTCATGTACCACATGTGATGTGAATGACAATAAACTTGACTTGAACTTGAATTAATCTTTCCCGCTTCATGGTTCACAGCTTCTATGACCTCTACTCTTCTTTCCCTTTCATTCTCTTAATTCATTAGCGCTCTCTTCCTTGAAAATACTCTCTATAAGTTCAACCTTCCAAAATTTCTCTTCACATTCACATCCAACCTGTCACATCCAGCCTGTGGAGCATAACACTGACAGCATTTAGCATTAGACCTTCTACTTCTACCTTCAGGCACATCACCCAATCTGACACTCTTTTCACCTCTACTACATTCTTTGACAACTCTTCCTTCAGGACCACCCCTACTCTATTTCTCTTTCTACAGCACCCTCACGTCCCTCAGTCCTACATTCTTGACTTTCCTCTTCTCCCTCTGCCTCCTGACATGTATCCCTCCTCATAGTCTTTGACTAACAGTAGCACAATTTCCATCGACAACCTGTTTGTCAACAGCACCATTGGCGGTCGTTGTTAACCCGAGCCTTAACCAATATGGTAGGGTGATGCTTAGATGAACTCGCATGTTAGATATGGCAAAAGTGTTTTACGTTGGATGCCCTTCCTGATACAACCCTCACCATTTACCTGAGCTTGGGACCGGCACAAGAGATACACT